CCCCAAAACCCCAAAACCCCAAAACCCCATGTTTCTAAAATGAATTAATTAATAGGTTTTAATGCATAATTAAAATCATCAAAAATATGATAGGGTCGACTGCAGATTTGTATTTATAGTAGCAACAGACTATAATTAACTCGCCTATTTCTTCCACAAAGAATATTCGGCTAATAAGGAAATGAAGACTTCTTGAAAATAAAGATATATTCAAGAATAAGTTAGAGTTTCGCGAGGCTTTCAACCAATTCATGAAGCCTAGAAATCAATATCATCATCAGGCTTAATCAAATGATGCATATATGGACTAAAGTAAAAAAGGCAGATAGTTCAGATATGGTAGATATCACTTAGGCAGTGTAGACTTCACATAAAAGAAATATTCATTTCAGCCAGAGCCACCTAATGTCAATAGCACTGTTTAGTTATCAATATCACCTAGCAATAAATCATTCGTTCCTTTCCTTAATGAAAGAGATTCCTTAGGTAGAATAAGATAAGAGAATTAGGCTGAATTGGAAAATTCTTGAAACGACTAATCATAATACTTTAGCAGAAATATAAAAAAGACAAGTTTGAGACAAATAGTAGTGCAAAAGAATAAATTAAATGACACTCACGTGGACCTGAGTATAACTATCCTAGACAATGAGGATAACGAATCTCCAATAAATAATCAGTCTGTGTGGTAAACAACCAAGCAGAATATCAAAAATAGTAAAAATGCCTCTTTGGTATAAACCAATGGATTAACTTCACCTTTGCCTGAAATTCAAAAGAAGTCATTTGTTGATGTGACTTCAGCATATGACTCAACAAGAATGCATAACTTTAATCATTATGGGTAGTATCAAAATATTATAGAAAAGATTAAAGAGAAAAAGAAAAAACTTACTTTACATCATCATACATTCTCAAAGCGTAAAAGCTTTGAAGATTAAAGAATTTTCAACCTCAAGGTAATTTTTTTCAGTTTATTTTACAAATAATAGAGTTTATCAAATTCCCCAGCTCCAGGTTATTATTAATGGGACAAATCTTAGGATATGACTCTTCCAATCTAAAGTTCGATGATAGATTTTTCAAAGCAAATAGATCGAGCTAAAAATGACATCTTTGTAACTGATAAATAAATGGACCTACCCTACAAATAGCAACTAGGACTTAGTATTGATTTGGAGAAAAACAACTCTTTAATTTAAAATGTAAAGACTGGTGTTGCTTTTGATAAAGTTATTGAAAGAGATAAAGTAAGTTACATGAAGAATATTGGAAGAAATATGACTGAGAGTGAAAAGTAATAGATGATAAACAAATTGGACCGAGAGTATAAAGTACTATCTAACCTATCTTAATTTGAAGATAAACATCAGAGAGACCATACAAAGGATCATCTTTACGATATTAAGCAAAAGAAAAGTCTGATTGAATTACTTCCTAATTTAGATCATACTTAAGATCAGAGTAAAAATGTAAGAAAAAACATTAAAAAATTCTTGAGAAATACTTATAAGATGACAGAAGCAATTTTAAAAAAGACCACATATTTCAATTCTAAAAATAAAAATTGAAGTGAAAGTCAATTTAAAGCATTATAAATCCTATGTTTACTTTCATAATTTTTATTTATCAATGAAAATTCTAGCAATTTAATATTTCGGGGTTTTGGGGTTTTGGGGAGATCGGAAGAGCACACGT